TGATAACTGTACATGTATTTTGAGAATAAAGTGTTCATTGAATCCATTTAACAGTTACGTTTGTTTTGATATTTGTAGCGGCATTTAAAGGGATTCATGGCGCGGACATTGTGCGCAAATGAAATTCCTTCAAATATTTTGCCATTTATGTGATAAAAAAGTAATGGCAGCACTCTGCAAAGAGTTATTATAAAACCTCTTAATTCTGCGACGAGTTTCGTTTAACTATCGTCGTTACTGCGTAACCAACAGCATTTCTCACAATGCAAGCGTATTTCCCTTCGTCCCTCTTTGTGACATTTAACAAAATCAACTTCGCTCCGTGGAAGTCAAACATTTTGCCGCCTCTTGAAGACATGAACGTCTACTTTGTATGTATGACTAATCCACCTGTATGAGTTACTCACATTGTACATGTATGACCCAGTTTCATAGGGAAAATATTATTTGGTTTTTTTAATTGGATTTTACAAAAACTTTACTTAAAAGGTTCAATTAATAGGCATTGTAGATGAGCTTCAACACTTCATCAATTTTTTTTTAAGAGATTATAATCTCTTTATTTTTTTTCATTGTCAGTCTTCTTCTCGGAGGGTCTTAATGGAGTTATCCGATGGCCAAACAACGGCCAAAAGATTTAGCCGTTAGCCGAAGCTTGGCCAAAATTTTACTCTCTAGCTGTAAAAGCCGTCACTCCATTAAGACTCTCTTCTACAGGCCGGTTGGCTTTTCTCTATTTCAAAGAACATCAATATCAGCTCTTGTATCAACTAAATTGCTTTTACATTCATCTTTCATTGTTTTCTTCTGATTAGAAATGAAAGTACATCTGTCTTAACTCCAAGTGTAATTTTGTTGGGATCCAGTGCTGGACCTCAAAGAGAAAAACACAAGATATTATCGAGATGGAAAATGCTTTTGTAATGCAAATTATCGGTGGCCACATATATCATGATTTGAATCTCCCTATTCACTTCTTGACGGGATTTTGAACTTATCTCTCAGTTTAATATTTTAAGCAAGATGAAGAAAACGTTGCACCTTTGTTGAGAATAACTTTTTGTGATAGCAAGTATAAAATTACCATCTTTTCACTCCTTATTTGACTACTTTAGCAACTCCAACTTAAACTGACATCAGTTTCTCGCACACAACTAGTATAGAAGAAATTTCCCGGGTTTTCTCTCAAGGATATCGCTAGAAATCACGTGCGTATTTGTACTTTTAAAAAACTCAGAGGGTCGCAAATGTTTTACTCACTTCCCACAAACAGCTGCATTGTATAGGTATTCCAGCCGCAGTTGTTCACCGCACCACAGATGTATATGCCGCTGTCCTTTTTCTTCGCACTTGTTATCCCTAGGTATCTGTATGGTTTTAATCTCATACGGTGATGATCTGATAAGATGAGCACCTGATTGTCTTTGAGCCAGTAATACACTGGTTTTGATGTCTGACCAGTAGTTCTGATATTGCAAATGAGTTTCACATCTTTCCCGCTGTTAACGTTGATGACATTTTTCTCGTTTCCTCTCTTTTCATGGATGTAAGGAACTGAAAAAGAAGCAATATTTTTGTGTATTCAAGATTTCCAATTAAAGAAAATTGAAAAGTACTGTTGTTGTTCATTTAAATCGAGATGCGCGTTGTACTTTTCGTCATTCCATGAACTCGATCAATCTTTGGATAGCAATGGCTTGGCCAACGAGAGCTTGCAACTTGAAGAAGCAATAGTTCTAGCATTAGCTATCGAAAAGAATCGATAATACTTGACTAGTAAATCCACAAGAGCAAGCTCACCAAACGAAATCAATTTTTCCCGCAAATTTCAATGAACTTCTTGATCAGGAGACTTGACAGGGGGTTAAATGCTGCGTTTCAATGGTCGGCGGCATGACCGCAAAGACGCGCATGAGGTACGAAAACTGTGAATTTCTTTGGAGGCCGAAACTCAAGGTTTGTTCTTACGCGAACAAATTAGAGCTAACGAGTTAAACACTCGAAGAGAAATTCCATATTTACGTGCGCCATGTATTATTCTCCATATACCTATGGATAGGGTCTATTGGAGATACAACAATTTCAGTCTGCTTTTCACAGTATAATTACGTGGAATTTAATTTTTGAGGCGACTTACTGTAGAAGAATAATTTTGATTTTCTTTCTGTTAAAGGAACAGCTGTAAGCGTAGTCTCTTTTGCAACCGTTATTTGGTCTCGTCACGCAATGGCTCTCTATCCAACGGGGAATAGAGATGTGGTAAATAAGCCAAAAAGAATGCTTAAAGGGAAAATATTAAATATTAAGAAATTTCAATGTGAAAACGAGTGCTGGCGATGGGATAGGGTTGAGAGTATGTACAAATTCACATTATTCTAAGAATCTCAAAATACTTTGTTTTATAACCTGGGAGATCATGATAAATGTTGTATTTGGATTGGAGGTTGCCAGACTCTCTTAGGAAACCTCCAATGGGAAGAAGGATAAAGATAGTAAATTACATGAAATTCGTTGAATGTAATACAATACCATTAGGAATGTGACTGATAGATGGTCTCGAGTTACGAAGTGAATTGATTGTATTAATTTATCAAAAAGTAAGCATTTTTTCCGAAAAGACAGAAGAGGCTCAAAGCTAGTAAGATCAATAAGCAGAGAGTTCTAAAGTTTTGGACCTTGGAAAAGAGTGGTAAACTGTGATATTCGTTCAACAAATATGAGGTCGAAGGTTGTTCTATTTGGTTAGAAAATAGGCGTTGCCGTTGCCGTGACAGTTAATCCTATGATTTCTTTTAAGTATGATTGACATTTGATTAGAGAAATACTTTGTCTTTATTAGAGCCGTGAAGATACTTTTTTTTTATATATCAACGTGTAAAAAGTATGGTGGGCTCACATATCATTTGTTAGCTGTCCAAGAGGCAGCAAAGAAACAACGTAGTCTAATATGTGCTCTCAACGCAGTCGACCACGCACGCACAAGATTATTGCAGAGGCCTTGATTTTGTAACTAACGGAAATCCGTAAGGGAAGCTGTAATACGCTAACCTGAAGTAAGAAATTGGGCTAACCTAGGCTGAATGAGATAAATCTGTGAATTGCGATTCACCGAACACAGAATTACGCTTTGATGGTTTTCTAAATTCAGTAAAGTATTTTATAGTACCATTTTCTGGATTCTTTGTCACGAGAGGTCACGTCAAACTATAAAATTAGGATTAAAATGAAGGTCTAAATCAAGTATCTGGGACAACAAAGGAGATTCAGATCTACTATACGATTTGTGGTGGTCGTCGGAACTTGCCTGTTCCTGACGGAGACAAATTTTAAGGATTGCTTCACAATTCTGTTTTCCTATAAGCTTGTGGATAAGTGAGGTGAATGATCCGTCGTAATCCGGCCGTCAGTTTCATTTCTGACTGCAAAATTGGTAGGGCATTTGCTAGTTCACGCATATAAGTATAACTTGCACTTTCTTCCAGGTGTAGTTAGACAGTCGTAATCGTAGACAACCAGGCCTCTGCGCCGTATCATGAAATTTGGAGGTGAGGCAACAGAAATATTTTTGATAACATCAAGCTGTTAAAGGGTCTTCTTAGCTTTTATAAATCTATGTTAAGAGTTTTCTCTAGGGTAAGATGGTGATAGCACATCGCTATAACTGACAGTCGAAAATATTTAACTGAACGTGTATTGACACTAACCTGAACACGCACGAGTTTGCCTCCCACTTCCCAGAGAGCATAGAATACCAAGAAGGAACGCTTTGAACATGAGTGAACTAGGAATCATGGCGACGAACTGGTTTCTCGTTTCGACTGATTCAGCTTTAGTTATAATTCCTACCTAAGACTGTAATAAAATAGCGACAAGTGGGTTAAAGAAGATATCGGTTAACCATCAATTAATGATAATAAAACTCACCACCACGTCTCATCACACAAAACTGTTCCCTTTTCGCGAACCTTTATGCAATTTTCATGTGGGCTTTCTCTTCGTCTTTGCTGCTCTGATTATCATAAAATTTCCAAGCTTTGCTTTGAAAGCGACGCTTGGTGGTCTGACGAAAACATGCCATATGACCATTGTTTAGTCAGCTTACCTGCTTCTCACGAGGTCAAACTCTTTGCCAGATGCTTAAAGGTGGAAGTTGAAACTGCCATTTGATGCGCATCCGACTCTTACAAACATGTAACGTCAATAAATCATTGTTCGTTCACTCACACAATCACACTATGATTAAGCCTAGTAACAACGCAACTACGGTTTGAAACGCTGCTGAATATTTCAGAAAAGTCAAAGAATACTTCAGCCAGGTCAAAGAAGTTTCCCACAGGAACAAGCTAGAAAATCAACGGAACAAGTCAGCACAAAACACAGGAAGACTGGTATTTGAAACCGTAGAATTCCTGTGACAAAATAGCAAAATTCCTCTTCCGTTGGCTAAAAGGAAGAGCTCGCTGAGATTTCATTGACTTGTTAGTTACATAATGATATAGAAACCAACCTTTACTGGCGAATTAGAAAACTTGTCCAATGTGGACGTAACCTCATCAGATTTTGGAAAAAATTTCTATGTTGGCTATCGCTGTTAATTTAGCCAGCGAGACTCAGAGTGTAAGTATTTTAACCGATACCGTCTGCAAAAATCTGAAAGTCTACGTTGAGTCCTTTAGCGACTCGAAGTGTAAAGCAGTGTGTAACAGTAATTCCGTAATTCCTTACGTGTAAAGTAAAGTTCAGATAAAATACAATACTTATAATACAATACTTTATTTACTCACACTACATCTTGGAGTGATAAAAACTCGTTAAAACGTGTGTGAGACTAAAAACGTTGAAAAGAAAAGAAATAATTTAAAGTTACCATTCTTAAATCTATCTAAAAGCTTGCTTCTTTAAAAAACATTTAAAAGTAGAAATATCCTTGGCGTTTCTAACATACGTAACGTACGTAAGTAACGAATTCCAAAGTTTTGCTGCCAAAAATGAGAATGACTTATGGCGCCATTCTAGATTGAAATTGGGTAACGTTAAAAGGGTCCCCGACCCTCTTAAATTATAATTGCAGATTTTAATCTAAAAAAATTATTTTATATTCCTTGGGGCTTCTTTATGAATACATTTATATACCAAAACTAGAGCCTGAAATTTTCTTCTTTCTTCTAGCGTTCTTATACCAGCCATATTTAATAAATAATTGTATGGTGTATGCTTTCCCAACCCTAAAATAGATCTAAGAATATAATTATTGGTGTCTTCTAGTTTTTTAACTTGACCTCTCCCAACTCCAAGTAAGTATCCTTCCGTAGTACCTCTTCTCTAGTACCTCTTCTCTTTCTCAATCATGTTGACCTCTTGATAATAGTTTCAGATTGCTTTCGTATTCAATTTCTTAAGATTTCCGGAAACCAAGGGTCATTGTTAATTGTCGTGATAATCTTGTAAGCGTGCCGCGTGACACTTTATTTTGTAATTTAGTAATTAAGCTAGGAGTTTGATGACAGTTGGCTTACTCAAGATTTAGGTGTATAACTGATTGTAGCACATATGTGGCAGACTTGTAGTAAGAATGTTCGTGATATAGAAAATTAATAATGATCTGAAATAATTAGATGAGGAAATGCGTGCGCGTTTGGGTTGGAACATCCTGCGACGTTGCGTGCTGTGTCATTCGTGCCGCAAATAGTGCGTGCGTGCGGGTGTAAATTACAGAAGTATTGATCGGCGTACAATGAGAAACAGCTGTTAAAAAAAAGTTGACAGAAACAGCATGGGATTTTAGTAAATCACGAATAAGTAATGTTGCTGTCGTTGTTCGCGGTTTGCTGTCGAGCTTAGCGAAAACTTGTTTCCTTAAGCCGGTTTTGGCTATTTTATAGATAGGTTTTTCGGTTTTTTTGCTAAAAAAATTTTGGTTTTCTGCTTTTAGCGTTCATTGCAGTTTACCGATTTTCCGTGTATGAATTTTTGTGAACTTTTGTGGCCTTTACGGTTCGTGGGCAAGACTGCTTGAGAAATGACGCAATTTTTTTGTCTGAAAAGGGACAGAAATGCATTGCGAGCAGCTCTGAATACCTTTATGAAAGGAAACTGATACTTCAGGAATCATCATTCGCAGCCAAACAACTTGAGAACGTTAAGTCACCAACCGTGTTTACAGGGAACTATTTCTATGCGCATTACAGGTGAGCAGAGTTTCTATGGTCAATTCATTTCAACCGCAATTAAGCTTAAAAACGATATAAACTTCCATGATAAAGAGGCAGCAGGTTGTCATGTATATTCTTCTCTCAGTTAAAAAAAAAAGAAACTGAAAGCAAAAACTTAAAATCACCTTAAGGAGGGTCTTCTACGTAGCAGCTGAGAATTGATGTGTTAGCACAGTAGCGAATATTTGTCAAGCATCACACTTTCACGATCAAGATTTTAATAGTTAATCAGTTGTTATCTTAGAGAAAGGTTTCGTTCTCAAAAGCAATTGAAGTGTGAGCTGGTCAACAATAACTGTTGAAACAGTGTTCTGATATCCTAAAGTAAGCGTTTTAACATCCACTGGCATATTTTCATCTCACAAGAAAATAAATCGTGTCTTATACAGAATTTGCTTGTCCAAATTAGACATGTCTGGCTGGGGGAACACTTCAAAACAAACTTCACCCGGCATTTCCTGTTCATTGTATCCGAAAGCAAAGGCAGCCCCAAGCAACACAGAGATTGAATGTTTTAAAGGCCATTTGCAGAAGTTGAACAAGAACTTTGGGCTCAGTTTGTACATGAATACTGAGGGTGAAAATGTACCCACCAGAGTTGGACCTGCCCCCTTGGGAGGATATCTCAGCCATCAATTGGCACCCACTGCAGGAAACTTCAAAGCTGCATACAATGTTGACTTGCCCGAGCGATGTAACAGTGACAGTGTTCCTTTAACAATTTATCCATCTTTCCCACTATCTTTAGTTTTTCCCTTGTTTAATGTCACACAGTGCCCTTCAGAATATCAACAGTTTTATGATACCTTGAGAATCAGTTAACACAATGCTGCTTCACTTGAGTCTGAAACACAAGCACAACACAATAGTAGCCAGTGGTGGAGTGAAAGTAGATCAAGACTAACAGCTTCAACATTTGGAGATATCTTAAGTCTAAAATCAATCAGCACTTCTTTTCTTAAGGGGCTTGTTAAGGAAATGGACACCTCTGGCAGCCTAAGAAATTTACCAGAACCCTTGAAACATGGTATTGTACATGAAAGTAAAGCCCTTGAGTGGTACCAGAACTGTCTGTCAAAAAATTTTCATCTGGCTTTGTTGTAAACCATGCTTGCCCATTCCTTGGTTACTCACCTGACACAAAGGCTATTGATGAATGACACAGAGGACAACCTATATGGGATTGTTGAAATTAAAAGGACCTTACAAACACCGAAATGTCATACCCAAGACAGCATGTGCTGGTGATAGTCAATTTCATCTGCAAATGAAAGACAACTTTCCAGTTTTGAAGACAAATCATTAATACAGTTATCAGGTTCAAGGATGAATGGGGATAACAATGGTGAAGTGGTGTGACTTTGTTAACTACACATTTCAGGGAATGGTCATTGAACGTATTTAATTTGATCCAGACTTTTTTGCCACTATGTTGTTGAAATTAGTTCTTTAACCACTAAGCTAAATTTTTCAAGGCATTACCAGTGCCAGCTGAAGTGTGTGCTGTACCAGCAACTCCCACAGTCACTCTTATGGCAATATCAGCAAGCAGTGTCAGTGGATGACAAGTTTTGAAATGACACCTGATATTTAGTGAGATAAACCAATTACCAAAATTTATTTCAAGTAATGTAAATATGTTAGAAATTATAGTACCTTAAATATAAGGCTCTTTACCATTAGCTAAGAAATAATTGGATTCTGAATGTTTGTAAATGTTTTGGCTTCTTTACTTTGTTTGTAGTTCTTTCCACATGAATTCACTCTGATGCTATTTCTTGAGTGGTAATGACTTCTGAAGGGGCCTGTTGACTTTGCAAACCAAGAAATGGGGGGATATTTAGGCCAACACTAATAGGTTCAAGAAGGTGAGAAGTGGTAAACCCCTTGTCATCACAAAATCACCTTGGGAAAAAGGTAAGTTAAGCAACCCTGACCTAGCTGTTAACTCCCTGTCTGAAATACTGCCAGCATAGAGTTGGGAAATAAATGCTATGTGGCCATTGGGTGCAATGCCAATCAGTCTTTTAAATGTTGTATGGCTCTTGTATGAGGAATAGGTCTCACTATGCAAAACTAAAGAGGATGGGGTCTGACACTTGATCTCTGTTCCATCAATAATGACCCTTGTTTTTTGGGTATTTATCCTTGAATGACTGGGGCATAGCCTTGTCTATTGTCTCTCTGTCCGGCCAATTGTTGAGGTAGCCAAATTTTAAGTACAAAAAATTGATCCAGGAAATGCAGATCCTGTTTACGTTGGAAACATGCACTCTGAATCTGTGGGCCAAATCAAGTTCAAATAACCCAAGCCTCAATCTAACAAGGATCATAAAGAACTCATCCGGGGTACTAATTTTTCGACGCCTGCCTGGTTTATTTCCCTGGGACCCATCCACATCACTAAATGCTGCAAATTCTAAATCTTCTGTTGC